TTGGCATAGGGGAGCAGCTGCCCACAGAGGCAAGGCAATCACCACACTGACGGACACACAGAAATGTCCCTGTCTAACAGCAAAGGAGGGAATGGATTTTCTTTAAAAGAAACCCCAAACACCAGTCCAGGAGGGAGTTTTGTGTCCAGGTCTTGCATGCAAAGGCAGTTCTAGATACTACAGCTCAGAGCCGGGGACCTAGCTGACCTTACTCATCCCAGCAATTCCCCATTGAGTATATCAGGCAGGTGGGACTTGCAGACATCCTCTTTGGGGGCTCTCCACATCCTCCCTAGCAGGAACGGACAGCTCGGGGGAGCAAAACCTACTGATGTGAACTTGGTCAGATGTGGGTTCAGCCCCTATAAAAGTGTATATATCTATGGGGTTATGTGCAACAGAGCATTTACTAAAGGAGCTAAATTTTATACCCAAGTCCCTGAAACGTGCAGTGCAGTATTTCAGTCCCTTCCTCTGAATAGAGCCTAACATGAGACAATGCAACCGGAGGCTGCCGACCCAGTGCAGAACAGACATTGCAGCATATGACATCACTGGAATTAGTGACGGACCTGCATTGCTACTGGAATCTCTTTTCTTTTCATTATGCACTGTTGTCCCCACAAGTATTCGGTTTCCTTCTTCCGTGATGGCAAGGGTGCAGCAGTGCAGCGCAGCACTCTACCTCTCCCTCCCGGTTTGCAGAGGTGAGCTGGCAGCACTCCAGAGCCTGGCAGGCAGGAGCTACCAGCTGGCTGTCTTAATTGCATCCTGATAAGACTTCTCTGAGAGACTCATTCCTCTCCGTTCGGGGAGAAAGGTTTGAAGAATCCCCTCTGAATTCAAGATCTTACAAGGTGTGTGATATTTCTCCCACTGCACTGGCAGTCATTATCACAGAACCTCACCTCTTCCATGCACCAGGTTTGTTTTGCATGCTTGTGGCCTCGTTTAGCCTAAAATAACTTCACACCATGTGGCAACTCTATTACAGAACCGCTGACCCTTTTTTTCCTCCAAGTCATTAAATTCCACCCCAGTAACAACCGTGCACAGCACAGTGGAACAGGTATCATGACACATTACACCAATTTCAACCAGCTTTTAATTTTTGACAGCATTTTTACTCCTTGCATCTGCTTTCAACCCTTGCTCTGCCTCAGCTCTCGCAAGCAATGTTATCAGTAGCTTTCAGATATTCAAAGACATTAAAGGAAGATACTGAAAGCTGCTCTAGTAGTCACATTTTCCAAAAATCACAGCTTTCAGGTAACAAAAGATTCCCAGAGTAAGAAGGCAGCTGCAAACAGAAGTCTGCTGTGACAGCAGCCTCATACCAGAGGGCAGAGGGAAGCCACCAACCTTCATCCCCAGCTGCTGCATCCCCAGTACTGCCTCCAAAGCTCAATGGCAGCGCTTCAACATCATGCTCAACATTATCTCTCTGAGCAGTGATAACTGCAACGGCTGAAATAAACAGCAGATGGGAAGCAAACCACCAAAGAGAGCTGAAGGTTTCCTCTATCTCTCCCCAGATATAACAAAAGATTTGCAGGCAACCAAGGTGAGTGGAACAATGCTCAGTCAGAGAGGTTTTATTGACATGGTTAAAGCAGTATCTATTCAGAAGGCACCGACATAATTTGGAGATCTACTAGAAACCAGATGGTTACATTGGGATCCCAACCAAGAACCTTCTATCCCTGCTGCTGGGGTTATCAAGATAAACTGGTTATCAAGCAGAGACTATATGCTATATAGGACCCTCAATAAGCAGCAGCAGCAGCAAAGCGTGACAGGTTAGCATTGCTCCTGAAAGGACTGGCTCATGGCTTTCCAGAGGTAAACACCCTTCTAGATACAAGTCACGCTATAGCTAGATTACCATATGACTCCAGTTTTGAGATTTCTGCTGAAATCCTGCATTTCATCACTCCTGGGGAGATCTGCTAGAACTGGAAAATAAATAAGGCAGGAGGAGCAGAGGCAGGGCTCAGCCTACCTGGAAGCTGGTGTTGCCACGAGCAAGGCCAGCCCCGTACATGTTGGACCCAGCTGAGGGAACTGAGGTGCTCGGCAGAGCTCAGGACTCACCTCGCGAGCACTAAGCAGCAGGGGAACAGTGGGACCACCTCCCAGGGACACAAGAGCCACTAAGCTGGATCAGACCAATGGTCCATCTACGCTCAGGAATCAGTTTCTAGAGCAGGAGGAGGACAGGGGGGTTTGTGACCAGGAGAAATGAGCAGTCATCCCTCCTCAGTGTGCTCTCCCAGCTTCTTGCAGTTCACAGCTCATAGATCTTGTGACAGTTGTGTTTACCAGCCCTTACAAAGAACACTTTTCCCTTGTGCAAACAGCTGGGTTTTCAACTTGTGTAAATTTCTAGCATCCACCATACCCTGCAGAAAGGAGTTTCACAGCTACCTACACCTTCGGTGCGTTTGATGGGTCCTAGGGTTTTGGGTTTTTGTGTTTATTGGAAAAGAGCAAGCAGTTGTCCCCTGTTCATCTCCTCCATGCCACTAACAATTTTATACACTGTTGTATCACTTCTTTCCCCCGGTCTCTTTTCCAAGCTTAAAGAGGCCTAGACTCCAGCTGTTCCTCTCACAGAACCATTCCGTAACTTAAGATGCATTTGTCTTTCCTAAACATTTCCCAGTTTTACAATCCTTTTTCAGGTGGAGGACACTAGAAGTGCAGTACTGAAGTGCACGTACAGGGCGGTAATTTCATACAGGGAAGCAATAATTTTTGCCATTTTGCTATCTAATAATTCCTTTCCTAATAGCACCTAGCATTTATTTAATTTTTCTGAAAGACCCAAGAGAACTTCCCTCAGGTCCTGTATGTCAGGCAATCCAGAGACCTCACCACACATGCCTGGAGTGAGATGGTGACGTTAAGAGGCTCCTCCCTGCCCTGATTCACTGGGAAGCATGGGGGAAAAGTAATTTTCAAATATAGGGATATTTGATTAATGGCTATTCAACACACAAAAAAAAAGAAAAGTAAAACAAAAACCCAAAACAGCTATAAGAAATTAAACACAAGCCCTAAAAAGCAGAACATAACAGAGGCTGTAACAAAGACCAGGATTCCTGAGACACTGGCAGATTGAACCATACCAGGAACTACTCAAGTGCAATGTGTAAGAGCTTTAGCCAGAAACTTCACAACGGATAAGAAAGCAAAACTATCATGGGCTTCACGGGAAAGAGCAAATTTATTATGGGGTGTTTGAGGGGAATTGTGGGACTGTCTAAAGTTTATCATGCAACGTTTTAAAGATTATGGGAGCAAAGCTTACTATGGGACATTTAGAGTAAGGATGGAAGGAGAGGAAAGGGAGACATCAAGCTAGATCAGGGAGAAACAAGCAGGAGAAATGGAGAGGAGGAATAAATAGGAGCCAGACACTCAGAGACCGGCTGCTGGTCAGTGTCCTTATCTGGCTGAGCCCTGCACCTGATTACCACCATCTGTCCCGGCTTTGTATTAAACTAATCCGAGCTGGTTCCTCTGCATGCATGCGCATTTGTGATCTGATAGCAAACTGCAAGCTGGACTAGCCCCTCATTAGGATAAAAGGACCAAGAACCAGATACCAGACAGACCCCAAGTCTGAGGACCACCTACCAGTGGTCTAAGAAAGTGCACGCACATGATCTGTGCGCAAGCTCCAGACTTGATGGGCCAGAGAGTAAGAACAGGATTAGGCCTTTTTTGCCATTCACATTTTACAAGTGCCGTTTGTGTTTTCCTGGGCACCCGCCACAGCACTTTTCTTCGGTTTCTGCTAACTGGTCTGTGTCTGGTTGCATCTATAGTGTGTGTGCATGTGGCTGTAGGAGTTTCTGGAGTTCACACTCAGCCTTGCCACTTGCTGAACCTGGTAACGGAGGAAAGCAGCAGTCTCACACATTGCAGACCAGGACAGAAAGGATTCCCTAGATCCTACAGACCGCTGCATTCAGCTGTCCTTAACACCAAACACTGGAACAGCACATCAAGTTCTCCCATGAACCCAAAGGTTGGCAAGGAAAACAAATCAAGGCACAGCCTGAGCTGAGCTAGCAAGACAACTCGAGGGAGGAGTTATGCCTCAGGTTTGTTACATACCCCATTCCATGCACACTGTAGCGGAAGGGAAGCTGGAGAGCACTCTCAGTAGAAAGCTTATTAATGGTCTCTAGAAAACAATTTGTTCACTGGAGAGCAGACCCAAAGAAGAGAGAGTTATCAGCTCACACTGACAAGGGAAAAGGATGTAAACTGATAGAAACAGCCCAGATCACTGTTTGTTACATCTCCAGGAGAAGCAACCACATCTAAGAAGTGAACAAAAAGGCAAAAACAAAGAAGGTGATTAATTATACAGCTCCAGGACCAGCAGCAATCCCTGCTGCAGTCTGGGAAGCCAAGAATCAAGACACTGCTAGGGACCAGCACAAGGGTGAAATGGGGATAATCACAACAGTGAACTGGATTAGCACACAGGGACAACAGGAAACCAGGGACCAGCACAGGACCACTGGCCTAGGAGCTCCAGTCCTGCCCTGCCAAAGCACACTGCTGACAGGTACCATGCAATACAGCCTTCATCCAGGCAGCTAGGATTTCAGCTCCCGCTGCTTCTTCACAAACATCCGTGTTGCAGGGTGTAAGAACAGACACCAGAAATCCCAGAACATGAGATGGGAGTGGAAGGTGTTTCTGTTGCAGAGCAGTAAGGTGACAAGGCTGAATACTATATTCCATGTTCAAGGGAAAAGGACAAGACTTGAACAAGAGTATAAAACTTTTATTGGGTCAGCGTATCAGTCCTTGAGGCAGAGAGAAAGGAGCAAACAGGGCTATAAGCTGTCCCAGGCGCTCAGTGCTGCAGAGATTATCTGCACAGAGCAGGAAAGACAAGGTGGTACATGCATAGCTGCAGCAGCCCTAAGTCTTTGCTCTCCAAGGAGGGGGACCAACACCTGAAAAAGCAGTCCCTCTCACTGTCCATTAGGTTTCACTCTGTGCTTCTTCCTCACAGGGCCTTGAGGACGCATCACTTTGGGAGAAGGCTGGCCAGCCTTCAAGGGTCTCCTCTGTCCCTGCAATGAATGTCTCTTCTTCAAAGCAGGCTGTGGTGGCTTCTGCTCTTTATTAACTTTTGATCCCTCAAGTTTCTTCTTTTTGGGCTGAGGCTCCATAATAGTATCAGGGACTGCAGATGGAGTTGCTGCTTCCACAGCAGGTTCTTCATCTGAAAGAAAAGAGAAAGGTGCTGTAAGAAGAACTCACGTGGCTTCTGCAGGGGAAGCAGCCTGTGAGAGCAGGCCCAGGAAGCTCAGCTGAGCTCCAGCGCTAGATTACCTTTTTGTGCCTGAGGGATGGCATTAGAGAATTTCTTGAACTTAGCAATGAAAAACCCATCCATATTGTGCGTGTGGGGATAGAAACGCCGCGTAGACTTGAGGGAGGGGTGGAAGCGACGGTCCTTGAACCTGGAAGAGGATGAGAAGTGATAGAATACCTCTGCTCAAATCTGGCCACCAAGGAACAGTCACCTGTGCAGCTTGTGACATGGCACGCACCTGGTGAAGCCTTCCTTGCCAAAGTCCAGGCCTGTGGCCACCAAACGAACATTGCGCTTCTTCAGGGCATAATCCACAACCCACTCATTCTCCTCCACCTGCCAGAGACTAAGCACTAGGATCCAAAGCTCACCAGTCCCCCGAGTAGGAGAAGACCACAGCAGAGCCTGGAAGGGACTTACCATGATAGAGCAAGTGCAGTAGACAATGTAGCCCCCTGTCTCTGAAGCAGCATTGACTGAATCTATGGCACTAAGAATCAGTTCCTTCTGCAGGTGAGCACAGCGCAGGATATCTTTCTCATCCTGAAAGAGAAGGATAGGTTAGGATGCCAGAGGCACAGGAAAGCACCCCAAGCCTCTATTATGGATGGAGGGATGACAGGAAAGCAAAGCAATACAATACAGAAGACTCTGGAATCTTCCCAAAAAAACCTAGCTCTGGAGCAACATACATTATAGGAAAGAAAACAAAAAAATTAGTGACCCTACTGCAGGCATCTGTCAAGAACAAAACTGCCCCAAAGTCCTTCCTCTCATGACTCATACTTGAGTCCTCATCTCAAGGACTCCACTCGTCACTCACCTTGTTGGTTTTGACAGCAGGATCCTTGGAAATGACACCTGTTCCGCTACAAGGAGCATCAAGCAAGACACGGTCAAATCCTCCAAGCACCTACAGGCAGATGTAACATTTGGAATTACGCTCACATGTGGGGACTCAGAACAAGACCAAGACTAGAAGGGGAACCAGAAAACTGGGAAGGCAGGAAACATCCCTCACTCACAGAATCACAGAAT